CCTGTCAATTTATTGCCTAAACATGACAATATTTCAGTCTCATTGGAACAATTTTGTAAAGATACTGTTATGACAATTTGGCATTATCATGGAGGGTGTCAAGTTGGTAATGTGGTTGATCAAGATTATAAGGTTATTGGTGTTGATAATTTGAGGGTTATTGATGGTTCAACTTTTAATTATTCTCCTGGTACTAATCCTCAAGCCACTGTCATGATGCTTGGAAGGTTAGTAATTACTAATTTATACTCCTTCTGTTCTAATTTATATGACTCTTTTTTTCGTTTTAGTTTGTTTAAAAGAGTGTGACATCTTTGAAAAGGAACCGTGGAGTTAATAGTAAAGTTATCTCCGTTGTGATCTATAGGTCACCGGTTCGAGCCACTTTTTTTAGTAAGTTAGAAAGAGTATGACACATTTGAAAAGGAAACTTGGAGCAACAATAAAGTTGTTTTCACGTGATCTGTAGGTCACTGGTTCGAGTCGTGGAATCAGTCATTGATGCTTGCATCAAGGTTGATTCTATATATTATACGACTTAATTGAGGTGTGGCTCTTCCCTGAATTGAACACGGAATGTTTCGTGCACCAGACTGTCTTCTTCTTCTTTTTTCAGAAAAAGAATGATATATTTTTTATATTTATTAACAAGTTAATTTTTAACATCTCATTTTATACTTATTGAGACGATTTATGACTATATAAATTTTATATCATAATTTGTTGGTCGGAAAAAAAAATCTTTCTTTTAAAATTCTTGAGTTCAATCTAATACCACCAGATTAATAGAGACGGAGGAAGAAAAAAATAATTAAACTATATACCAAAGTCCTATAAGTTGTTGAAATTAAGATGTGATGATTACTAAATTATTTATTTATTTATTTGGAAAATGTGCAGGTATATGGGAGTAAGGATAGTGAATGAGAGACTTGCTAAAGAGGAGTCAAATCATTAATTAATTGATCATAAATTCGTTTCTTCTTCTTTTGTTACCTTTTGTTTATGAATGAGAGTGGATTAATTAAGAATATATAATACCACTATATATAATGTTAATTGACTTCATTCTCTGTAATAATAATCCCAATAATTTCAGTAATAATATGTTTTGTGTTTAATTATTGATCTTGAGAATATAGAATGAATTATGAGCTATTATTTTTATTCTTTCAATCCAAATCTTTCATATCGACATAATAATTTATTCAAAATCTTATATTCGCCTCTACATGAATTTTCAATGAACATTTCTGTTGGAATACCATTTGAAAAGACATTTCTGACTAACCAATTTCTGATGGACTCTATTGAAAGATCACATTTTTACTACTAAATAAACAAGAATTAATTATCAATGGACAACTCTCTAATTAAATCATAAAAATTCATCAGTAATGTTATTTAACGATAGATTATAAAAAATTATATTAGCTACGAGTATTTTAGTGTACAATCAAGAATAGGAAATATAGATATATTTGAGTGTGGAGAAAGTATATTACAAAGGATATACCTCAAAAGAGCAAAAGATTGTTTGCCACCTACTCCTAATTAAAGCATCTCTGCTCTGTTAAAGGGAATGCTATCCTTCTTTATATATTCCGCAAATAATTAAAGTTATTATATATATATATATATATATATTACTAAATGTGATCTTGAAAAATAAAATAAATTAATACCTCTTACAACCAATAAATTAATAAGGTGGCCAGATGATATAAAAATAGTGTTTTGTATAATTATATTCGTTCAGAGAGAAATATTTCAAGTATTGAAGTATATGATCATCTCATTTAAAACTTTAAAGCGTGAATATACATTTTCTATTACTATTTAATTATATTATATTGTCAACATTAATAGTATAAGATCATGGTACGTGGAATCTAAATTAACATTGGAGATTTATAAAGAGAAAGATCATGATCATCTCTAGATAATTTGCATGGCATGGACTCAAAAGTAGGAGGCATCATAAGAAAATATCCTTCATTATTGTGGCATAATTCAATGGCATATCCAATTTCATTAGTGCAGCCACTAAGTGTTGTATATCCCTATAAATTTGTCTCATCATTTCCATGAGGTGGTTCAAATAAAACATTCAAATTCGATCGGAAATAATCTCTGTCTGACTATCTCTATGAGGTAGAAGTATAATAAGTGTACATTTCTCATTTATAAGATTGTACTGAATATGTTATTATTGGTATACTTATTAAGTGAAGCAGTTGTAGGGCAGTTCTCCGTTTGGCAGATATATGATTATAAATATAATTTGCCAAAGGAGAGTTGCCCTATGATTGCTTCTGCTTAATTATGTTTATATGATGAGAAGAAGAAGAATTATGAAAATGCATTCCAATTGGCATAATAAAGGGTGGCTCAATCGACGATCTTTATGTTGGGTGATTTATTTATTTATTGTTGGTATGGTTTATCGTTTGATTAATTAATTAGCCTAAATAGGATCTTTTCATGAGTTTACTTCGATTCATATATATCATTTGGTAATTTATATACATGAGAATCATGTAAATACGTTTTACTCTATTACTTTATTCATTTCAAATTATATAGCTTAATCTGAACTACGAGGTCAAAATAATTAATTAGAAACGAACATTAAAAGTATTTGTTAGTTTTTGGAGCTTTGAAGGGTTTTAATTGCTAGCTTGAAATTGTTTAACAACCTACAAATATTTGATAATTCTTGGACATGTTTGTGTGACTAACCTAATTACATAGTGTATTTAAGTAATAGGTTTTTTATCTAATGAGATTTATGTATGTTGACAATATATACATACGTGGTATATGTACTAATAAATGTTGAGATGGCCGAGTTGGTCTAAGGCGCCAGATTAAGGTTCTGGTCCGAAAGGGCGTGGGTTCAAATCCCACTCTCAACATTTTTATTTTTTGATTTTTTCGCTTATAATTTTTTTTTAAATTTTAACATTTACCATATATTTTACCTTTCAAATTATTCTCATTTACATGTTTGAATAATTTACCAATCAATTTAATTACTAGATTTTTCATTAGCACAGTCTACACCAAATAGGATTTAACTACTTTTTGACCATATGCATGCTAGACTTGAAAGAGATTGATAGCTTTACATGACCCTATTGATCCGTTATGCAATATTTGCCTTGTACAACCTGCTAGTTGACTTAGTCTACTAAAACTAGCAATTTCCTTCTTCACAAGGTACCCAAAGATAAAACTAAAATTGTGTAAAGGTTTCGGTGTAGAAAACATCTCGCGTATACATATAGTTTGAAGAAGGATCACACATCAGGGGTGAAGTGTGATATAGGCAACACAAGCATCACTAGTTGATTCTGCGATTCGATTATATAACTTTATTGTTGGTCAAAAAACTCTATTATAAATTTCTTGATTAGTGTTATATTTTTTTAAATACTAGTTGGATCATACAACTCACACTTAGCTGTGTGTACAAAATATTTCTTGTATTGATCAAGTCTATAGAGTGTAACTCTTGCACATAGGAAACTTGGCATTATATTATATAGTATCAACCGCCCAGACGGCAAGAATGAAAATACAGCTATATATCAATCTAAACTTTATCACTTTTTAATTTTAATAATATTATTGGATAGTTTTTTCAACCCTAATTAATTTGAATTGAGGCATAGTCGATTGCCACTTACATATTTTGTATAGCATGTTAATTCAGTACCATAAACGATTTAAAACAAATTCTGTAGATTAAACTTAATCTTCGTTTAAACAATGTATACGATTAAAATTAAATAAATAAACGTATATACATAACTAGATCACATTTATTTTGAACCACTATCTCAAGAAACTTCTATAAAACTAACTTGACCAAAAAAATAATGATATTTTCTTAGAAAATGTAATAACTAACATTATTGGTGGGGATATAAATGTACTATGGTGATTGAAAGCAACTAGACAACATAGAATTTTGGAATGAAAAGTGACCACGTTAAACAACAAGTCCAAGAATTTTATTTTATTTTAGAAAAAAACATTCTACTGAAATTTCTATGGAAAATAGATTGATAGTGCTGGCCACTATAAAAAGCATAAATCCTTGTTTTTTTGCTCTTTTTGCATATGCTAATCGACATTTCCAGCAAATTTTTCCCAAGCTACTTCCACACGGGAGGACCTAGAGTACACGTTACGGATTCATTCAATACATATATGTATATGTATCGAGAAATTCACTAAATAAGTATAAATAATTGCGTCAAATCCATAAATCAAATGAATTTTGGTAGAATCTTATGTTCATATGTCACAAACTAAAAATTCTGGCTCTACCTATGTTGGTCACACATTTTGTTGGATGCTAATATAATCTTATAAGATTATTTTGATGGAAATTTTGAGGCATTTAAGCTGTCAAGATTAGTATTAATCGGCAAGACTAAAGACCCTTTCAAGTATTTAATCAGAAAAGTAATGATTTTATGTAGTGACTATTCACAGATTGACCAAGTCTAATAATTAAATTTCAATATAGAACTAAATGACCTATGAGAAACACATGTTAGGTCATTGTAAGTTGAGATAGAAATTACTCCTTTCGTTCCAATTTAACCGTCTTACAATTTTTTTAAATGTTCCAAAAAAAGTGTTTCTTTCTTTTTGGTCATTCCAAAAAGGACTACACACATCTTTGATTTAAGATCACGAGATTCAAAAGTATATCTTTATTTCTTAAATTTCGTGTCCTATCCAATTAATGTTAAGATATGGCACCACGACCTAACTCAACCCAAAAGTTCGTTCATGTAAAAAAAGTTTGTCCAAGTCCATATAAGGAGACTGACTTCTCATCCCTTACATTGTGGAACTTCTTAACACTCCCCGCACGACCAGACCTCAACTGGAGTGTGAACACTCATAATGGGGATCCAACATCGGTGAATGACAAATTGGGATGAGCCTAGCCCTGATACCATATTTAACAACTTAAGACGCCTAAGTTGGGAAGGACAGATCAATTTTTTTTCCCTCTAGACTTGTCTAAATAGCAACTCAATTTAGTTTGCACATAACTTCCTACAGGCTGCAACAAACCAAAAAGGCCAAGAAAAAGACCAAAAGAATCCTAAATCAAGAATGCAATCACCTTGTTTCAACTGTATTTGCTGCCAGAATTCCCATGGAGAAAAAAATCCCTCCTCTAAAATCGGCATAATCATCACTTGTCATCGCGAATTCATCGATGCAGTTGCTTCATCCATCCAGCCAAATTCCCAATTTACTAACCATGAGTGTTTGCCTTCTTGTGCAGAACTATTTGCCAACTTACAAGAAGCGCATCCACATTACAGTCAGACTAATCTTGCTGATGAAATTCGAGCTAACGAATACTATCACCTCACTCTTTCGAAACATGTTTGTTTTGATTACATTGGAAATGGCCTTTTTTCTTACTACCAACAACAGAACATGATCAAATCTCATCCAATTCACGATTCAATCGCCTCTTCATCATCTGCTCCACCCCCTCCTCCTCCTCCTACTCACAACGAGCCTTTCTTTAACATTTCGTATAAGTCAGTGAGTTTAACTACTCAATTGCTCTACGGAGGGCAAGAATCAGATATAGAACGTAAAATGAGGAAAAGGATTATGAAATACATGAATCTCTCTAACCATGACTACTCAATGGTCTTTACAGCTAACCAATCTTCTGCATTTAAGCTCTTGGCTGACTCTTATCCCTTTGAGTCTAATCCTAACCTCCTTACTGTTTACGATCACGAAAATGAAGCAGTGGAAGGGATGATCGATAACGCTAAGAAAAAAGGGGCTAAAGTGGTATCAGCAGAGTTCTCATGGCCTAATTTGAGAATCAATTCAAGAAAACTGCGAAAAACGCTTAGTGTCAAGAAGAAACAGGGGTTATTTGTTTTCCCTCTTCAGTCTAAAGTAACAGGAACAAGATATTCGTATCAATGGATGAATATTGCACAAGAAAACGGATGGCATGTCGTGTTTGAAGCATCTGCTTTAGGTCCCAAAGACATGGAAACATTAGGCTTGTCGATTTTTCAACCTGATTTTCTCATTTGCAATTTCTACAAAGTGTTTGGTGAAAATCCTTCTGGTTTTTGTTGTTTGTTCGTGAAAAACTCAACCATATCACAGTTGAACAAATCATCCACTAGTTTGGGAATTATTCGTCTTGTTCCAGTAGACGCGAAATCATTTGAACACAAAAACGACTCCTCTTCTTCAATTTCATCAGAAAACTCTGTTTCAGAATTCCAAGAAATCAAACAAGTGTCTGATCAAGAACCTAAGACATTATTCGAAATACTGAATTGGGGTAACAAATCCAACGAGAAGACTCTTTCAACGACAACTACAAGCTTGGAATGCAGAGGATTAGATCATGCTGATAAACTCGGCCTAATACTAACAAGTAGCAGAGCAAGGTACCTTATAAACTGGCTAATAAACGCGTTAACGCGTCTTCAACATCCTCATACTGAAGATATTCATCATCCTTTAGTGAAAATCTATGGATCAAAGATACATTTCAATAGAGGACCAGCTGTGTCATTCAATGTGTTTGATTGGAAAGGCCAAAAGATTGATCCAACACTAGTTCAAAAGCTCGCGGATCGACACAACATATCACTTTCTTGTGCATTTTTGAAACATATATGGTTTTCAAAAATGTATGATGATGAAAAAAACACAATCTTGGAGAGTTGTGATGGTGATAATTATAATAATAATAAGAAGAAGGAGAAAATGAGTTTTGGTGTATCAGTTATTAGTGTTTCAATTGGGATGTTGACAAATTTTGAAGATTTGTATAAGTTATGGAGTTTTATAGCTAGATTTTTGGATGCTGATTTTGTAGAGAAAGAGAAATGGAGATATAAGGCACTTAATCAAACAACTATTGAGGTGTAGATTGAATTTTTATTTTTATTTTTATTTTTGCTGGAATTACCACATTGATTCTTTTATCTTCTTTTTTCCTATCATTTGTTTTGCATGTTGCTCGACTCTCCAAAATATGATATCTTATTCGTGTTTGATCCTTCAAAAGGTGCATAATATGAAGGAATCGAGATGCACCTTATGGTATTTATGAAGAGTTGGGCAATATATGTTTAGTATTTTTGAAGAGTCGAGCAAAAGATGGGGAAGACTTTTAGATATTATTCTTCCAACTTTAGTGAAATTATATATGATATCTTTCAAGTAACATATGGAGAGATTCGATTTTTTAAGGGTCATTTTGCACTTTGGTCTTTTCACTTTTTCGTGAGTTATAAGTTCATATTTTCCCATCATAATATCATTTCATAAGATATAAGTTCTATTTCTATGGATAGAAATTAAATATCATTTTATATGATGGGCAGAAATTAAAGGCTACTCTATTTAAAGGACAAGTCCGGTAGTTAAATAATTATTGTATAAATTATAGGAACCACATATTATAAGTACTAAATAACATCCTATCCCTTCTAGTTTTCTATTTACCAAAAATCCCTTAAAAATGATGTTTGCGGGATACATAGCGTTGTGCACAGGATACATTAGGTTTGATACATTCCACATAGCGGGATACATAGCGTTGTGCATGGGATACATTAGGTTTGATACATTCTACATAGCGGGATACATAGCGTTGTGCACGAGATACATATCGTTTGATACATTCCACATAGCGGGATACATAGCGTTGTGCACGGGATACATGCGGGATACATAGGTAAATAAGGGATTTTTGAAATTTTTGAAATAAGTAGGGATAAATGGATATTAAGGTAAGTAAAGGAGTGTAATTAAATAATTTGTCCATAATTATTTTTGTGACTCATCGAGTGGAAAAATCCAGCTTGGGCAGTCCAATAGTTGGGTCCATTTGTAACAAAATATGTTAAACTACCATTTGGGCCGTTATATGATCTAAGCCCAGTGGTTTTGTACCCATAACATTTGTAAAAGATTATAGTATAGATGTATATGGTATGTATATATTTGACTCAAAAAAAAAAATATTGTACATGTGGAGATGTATTTTAAATAATGAATTGATAAATATGTACGTCTTTTTGATAACTTAAATTTTTAGATGGAATAGTAACATATTACAATCCAATTTATTGGATTGTTATAGATTTACAAGTAATGAATCCGCCTATTAAATTAAAAATAAAATAGCAAAGTAATTTTTTGTTATTCACATTTGTTTTTTAATGAGTTTACCAAGTTAAATTTGGGAAAGTAAAATAAATGGAGGGATATTTTTAAGTAAAATAATTAAGGGACGCTTTAAATGCTAGTACCCCTCCGTCCCATTTTATGTGGCAACATTTGACCGGGCATGGAATTTAAGAAATAAATGAAGACTTTGGAATATTTACCAAATTGTCCTTTAAAAAGTAGACTCACTTTTCTCTCTCCTCATAAATGTATTGGAGTATTATTTTAAGATTAAGTGGGACCAACAAGGGTAAAAGAGGAATTATACCTTTAAATACTTACCATATAAGGAAATGTGACATTCTTTTTGGGACTGACCAAAAAGGAAATGGTTCCACATAAAATGGGACGGAGGGAGTAATTTTTACACCTCAAAGTTAGCACACATTTCAATAAAAATATTAAAATATTCTAAGCTCGAATTATTCGAATCTTACCTACTACCAAGCAGATCTAGAGAAAGGTCATCACTTCAAAATGACGACTTTTTTATAGTAGTTATTATTTTTCCAAATCAACGCGATAAAGAATTGAATTTAAAAGATTATGAATCGTGACAATATTGCCACTAGCAATATAAAATTTTCAATTCTCCTGTCATTGTGATAAAATCAGAATTTTTGCTAAAAAAAATTTAAAATATAAACAAATACACGTTAAGAAGGTAAATTAAAAAGATTTAATATCTATTCTCTCTATATATATATACTTAAATAAATGATTTTGACTTTAGTATACGGAAAAAAATATTTTTGATTATTAAAAATTTTAAGGTATGCTTCTGTTTTTTCACGGCATTACTAAGAGTGAGCCGCCATGGCTTACTTAAAAAGTCTGAGAAACGTGAATTTCAGTTGGAAAATTTACTTTAAGTTGCCTCCATGGTGGCTTTATTTTTTGGCTTGCAAAATTTCCTTCTTATTTTAATCTTGAATGTTCACTAAGTTGGTGAAAGGAAAAAAAAGAAAATAATATCGAGAACACTTCTAAACTAAGCGCGAATTATTAGTTTCATTTCTGAACTATTGATAGTATTAATAACATCAATTTATTTGACAAACTGGACCTAAATATACTATCGATCTTGTAACATGAATGAAATACATTCCTAAATTCTCGCCAAGTTTAGGGGTGATTCCAACACTTCTCTTGGTTGTTTATTAGTGTCATTGAGACCACTTACTATGTTATTTGGCATATCAAGGGTGATCGATGGTGTATCTAAATTTAGTTAGTAAAGTAAATGAGTGTTTTTAAGACTGTCAATAATTGAAATACGATTGAAGTAAAACATAACAAATTAATGGACTTTTATACTCTCTTTTTTCCAAATAAAAACTTTTATACTCTCTTTTTTCCAAATAAAAACTTTTATACTCTCTTTTTTCCAAATAAAAAGGACTTCATTGTTTATCACAATGCAAGTTGGATATTTAAAATATTATATTTTGTCAAATCAAGAAGGAATTAAATATTCTCTTTATTATTACATCCAATATCTATAAGCCTAAAAGGTCATGACAAAGTTATGTGCTATTCCACGTGCGATTTCCCTCTTTGAGCTTGTGATAAAAAAGTCATTGAATCTCAACTAAAATCACCCCTTAGTTAGACTATAGCCTGTGACATGTTCGATTAATTTAAATTTATGTTAAATAATTTTATAATAGAAAATAAAAGGTTTTTTGATAAAAATAATCTTATATTTCAAAATTTAAAGTCAAAATTTCTGACTATATATGAGGGCTATAATTTATAGGACTACTTAATTGATGTATCATGGTCGAATTCATCCAAAATAACAAAATTAATTGACACTCGAAAAATAAAGTATATTTGGAAAAAGAAGTTATCTTAAAACTCTATCAAATGCTTGGAGCAAGAAAAGTATAGAATCCTTTAAGGACCATAAAATTTCTGACGTATCACTAATTAATTAAGGAAATCTCATCTTAGCCTAATTGAACATTTTAACAACTTATCATTCCGTATATTTATTAATTCAACTTATTTTATTTCACCTAAATTTAATGCAACACATGTATATTTGACACATCGATTCGAAGTAGAAGTAAAACTCATTAAATGGGAATTCAGAAAATAGTTGCCTCTTACGCTTTGAATGAACTTGACTTTTCTTGTCCTAATCAATAACAGAGTCGTAACTTTTATTAGAACGTTTAAAATACGAAGAAGTAAATATATCTTAATTTTTATATATATAATATGACTTTCTTATCGAATAGATGAATATATTGCCTCTATCTAGCTCCGCTCCTTAGGTCCCACTGTACTCCATTGATCTGCAATTCTGTATTGATTTTGACACCAAATTTGTATTTTATTTTTTTATATTATAGTACTCCATCAGGTCTTTGTTTGAAGTATCTTCCTGTATGCACTTAATAAAATGGGGTCAGTGTTGGCTGTCAGCAGTATTATTAGCACCTCCCTCGTTTCTTTTCCGTCAGCCACCCTACACGTGAAAATTATTTTGGCTAAGGATAGCAAGACACGTGAAGAAATTGTAAAATTACACTGAATATATTATTTTTTTAATAATAAAAATTAAATTTAGAATCTTTGTCGATTTTCTAAATTAAGTTTGAACAGTGTAATTATCTTATCTGAAAATTTATTAATATTATTATTCATTGGATTATTTCCTTTAAAAAAAAAATCAACATTTCTAGGATTTATTTTTAAATTTCAAACGATGTGGAGCTTATGAGTACAAAAAACTAAATGAGAATACCATAGAAGAATGTTGCAACAGAACATATAACTTAATTGTACTGTTAGACTTTCCTTAATTATTAATTAATTTTCACTTTTATAATATATTATATATATTACTTGTACTCCCTCCGTCCCTAATTACTTGTTCACTTTTGAATTGACACACATATTAAGAAAACAATTAATGATATAGTGAGTTTACCAATTTACCCCTATTAATTATGAAGTGGATGAAAATTTTTACATTTTTCAAAGTAATTAGTCATTTAATTGAGGATATAATAGGTAAAAAAAAAATTGTCCTTTCTTGATTTGTCAGAATGGACAAGTAATTAAAGATAACTATAAAAGGAAAAGTGGATAAGTAATTAGGAACAGATAGAGTATCTTTTATTCACTGACTCGATGATCTTGGTTGGTAGCTTGCATTTATGACCGTTAATTTGTGTTGGTTTATTGTTAAAGAAGAACTCTTGTTATATATCGTATATTTTTTTACTGTTTCTAACAAATATATATATATATATAGGCTATGGAACTTTAAAAATATCTCTAAAATGGTATTAGATTTTAAGATTTAATCAAATTTTATAATCAAAGGATAACTTAATTAAAGATATTAAAGGTGAAATCAGTTCTGGTAAAAAAAAAAGGAAATAAAACTTAAAAGCAATGACGTAGCAAAAAATTTCACGAAAGATATTCAAACAAATAAAAGAAAAAATCCTATAGGGATTCAATCTTGCATACTCTGCACCTAATTGCCACCGAGCTGCTTGCATTATCTTATAGGTTTTAAGCATAAAAAAAAATAAAAAATGCAGACACAGATTCAAATTTGGGCACCGTGGAAGTTTTGTTGTTTTGAGGATGTCCAAAATAATATATATACCAATATAAAATAAAATTTGATCTATATATATAAAGTAATTTTTTGATGAAAAGTGTTCAACTGAAAACTCTGACACCACCA